AGCCAGCCAGCCAGCCAGCCGCAAGACAGCGCGACAGTCAGACAAACAGACAAACAGGTAGGCAGACAGGCAGGCAGGCAGACGGACGGACGGACAGACAGACAGACAGACAGACAGACAGACACAAGGAGAGATTGGCATTCAGTCAAACAGAGAGTCAATCAATGAGTCAATCTGACAGGTTAACAGACAGTGAGATGATGAGGCGGAGAGACAGTCTGTGAGGAGTTGTTGTGTTGTGCTTGTGTGTCTGTGTCTGTGTCTGTGTGTGCGTATGAATTGAGTGGATGAGTGAATGACTGATTGAGTGGTTGGTTGTGTGATTGCGTTTTCGTTTGTGACTGCGACTGGGATTTAGTGTGCGTTTGTTGTTTGTGTGTTTGAGGAGGAGTGGGGTGAATAGTTGTGTATCAGGCGATCCCAGTCACGGTCAGGATGGCCGAGCGGTCCAAGGCGCTGCGTTCAGGTCGCAGTCCACTCTGTGGGCGTGGGTTCGAATCCCACTCCTGACACCACTTTTATCAACAAGAGACAAACCTATCGCTCAACTTCATCCCCCCGAATCTCAAACAAACTCGCATCACTACTATCCGAGTTAGCTGTCGACGACTCACTGTTGTGCACACAAAGCAGCTCGACCGGAGACAATTCCAGGAGAGGACAGACTTCACGGGAAGCCTAGGTGTGAATTGACTGTGATGGCGACGTTGGTGTCCCACTTGACGCGATGACATCGAGGCGTTGTGTGCAGCAAGCCAGGTGGATGAGTTGCACAACGGACGGACGGTGGATCAGCAGTGAGGTTGACGAACTGCCTTGTCAGATCAAAATCACCACGTCGCGAGCAGGATTTGAACCTGCGCGGGGAAACCCCATTGGATTTCTAGTCCAACGCCTTAACCACTCGGCCATCGCGACCTGCCATTATCACTACAATAACACCCACACAATCAAACAACCAATTAGTAACACGCTAGCACGCACGCACGCACGCACCCACTCACCCACTCACCCACTCACCCAAGCACCAACGAACGAACGAACGAACGAACGAATCCACACACACACACACACACTCAGTCACACACAAACACTCACTCACTCACTCACTCACATACGGAAGCCACACTGAACACTCACTCTCCTCAGCTCTGTCCTCCTCATACTCCTACCCCTAATCCTACCCCTAATCATAATCCTACTCACACTCACACTCCTCATCCTACACTCACCTTGTACAACAAACACAACAAACACTCCATCTACATCCACCAACAAAAACACATTCCACACCTCCCCTGCTCATACACCCACAAACACCAAATACAATTCGCACATGTCAACACACGCCGGTGACCACACACATACAATCACATGAGTCACAGGAGGAGGACGCATCGGTGTCTAGCGATCTTCATTCGGTCAGACACTACTGAGAGAGTGAGTTCGATTCGTTGAGTAACGAGTACCTTGTGTTTTCAATACAGTGGATTGTACTGGTTCACTTTCCAGTGGTAATCGGTTGTCGACGGGAAGACAGTTGAGCGTGATTGCAGCCATCATGACTGAGAGTTTGTCTATTGACAGTGTGCAGTGTGAGTGTTCAGTGACCAATCATGTGTAGGCGGATGTGAATGGAGAGCGAAGGAGACGAGGAGATGGTAAACTAGTCAGTGAAATTGTGTCTCTGACAGTTTATGTGTGCGTGGTTTCTAGTGCGTTGCTGTGACCTTGTTCGTGCTCTTCTTCTTTTTATTTTTTTTTTTAAACATGTTGTTTGTTTTTTTTGGTGGAGGCGGATGGCAAATCGGATGTATGTTTATTAATGCTGTTGCATTTTCTGTATATTCGAATGTCTGTATATTCAACTGCGGTAACCTTGTGACGAGAATTTTGTGCAAGCGATACACTTCGACGGATTTGTACTTAATAATGCAGTGAGGCTTGTTGACTAATCGGGGTTAGTTTTTAGCTCTCTCCATGGTTGCCTGTTTTATCGGCTCTTTGAGTGTTATTTTCTATTTCCCATCTTGTGAATTGTTTTTTCCGTTGTTTTCATTATTTTTTGGACTTGCTAAGTTATTTACTAGGGCGTCTTTTTTGTAATACATTATTTTCTTTCTTTTATTTTTCCATACGGTTCTTGTTTTTGTATTTCTCTCTCTGGCGATTGTGGTATTTATATGTTTTTACTCGATGTTTTTTCTTTTTATTTGTTGACACTAAGTGTTTTGCATTTTTGCGGAAGTATTTTATTTCATTCTTGGAAATTTTCGCTTTCCATTTTTCGTCGGTTTACTTTTGCGTTATTGGTGTAGGAATCCTTTCGCGGAAACTTCAGGAATGTGCTCACATTCACTTATATTTAGGCGAATCTTATCTTATGCCCTCAATTCTGCTGTTACATTAAGTTACATAGGATGGGAGTATGAGTACAACTCCCATATTCTGTTATCTAAACAATTATGGAATTATTGTTCAGATCGAAATTTCGAACATTTAGGGACTTCGCAAATTCTTGTTGCCCACTTCCCTTCATCTTATACATAATCTAAAGAGTCTTATTTTAGTCGCAGTCCACTTAAGGTTTCCTGACGGAGATGCAGTCTTCCACCGGATATTCTAACTATAACTTATAGGTAGGTGGTCTGTTTGTATCGATCATTGGCTTGATCTGTGCCGCCTCTAAGTAAAACAATGTCTGCCTTTATGTTGGCGATGGTTGCAATATAAAATCACTGTTGTAAGTTTACAGCTACTGGAAACCGTATATAACTTCCAACTATACCTACTGGAGTGACTCAGCATCCCTAAATGAGTTGTAATGTCACCTGATAAGATGACTACACACAATGGTTTTGCTTTTATTAGGAAAGTATACGGCTTCTGTTGAAACTCATCTTTTACATGGTCTAAACTTCTGTCAATTGGTGAGAAAGCGGACATTATGATGAGGTATCGGTTAACCCAATTATCTTTCCTTCTTCTTACAGATCCATTGAGTTAGAAAGCACACAGACGACTGTCCACTAGGACACAACCAAGTAGTTAATTTTCCCATTTTTGTTTAATACTAAATTCTTACACCGACAAGTTTACGAGAAGTAAGCAATGAATTTTTTGACATCAATGGAGTGAATTCGACTGTGAATAATTATAAATGGTGTTACTATATCTAATGTTGCTAACAATGGTCCCAGATTTATGGTAAGGTAAAGAATCTCTCTGGGGATTAGTTTTATCAGTGAAATGAAAGAAAGAAGTAGATGGATGATGGAAAAAAGAATTTCGTCTGCATATGGAAAGGTGTAGGAGTTCGTATTCTTCTTACTGTTTATACTGTGGAAAAAACTACTTGTCCAAGTATCTTAGCCCAGAGGACAGCTGCTTGAGACCGGCCACACACGACAACAGATTCTACACAGAATTCCCATCTTCCCCCATAAATTCTTTGTTACATAGTACTGACGCCTCTTATCCACTTCACTGCCTACTGAAGCTGGTGTCCCTCAAGGCGCTGTCCTTTCTCCTTTTCTTTCTTCTTGCATGACTTGCCTCACTCTGATGAAATGAACTTTGTGAAGTACGCTGATGATTTAACGGTTTCAATAGTTGTTAACTCCCAGCTAGATTGTACTAAAATAAATAGCTTTCTATCGGGAGTCAGCAAATGGTCTGAGTCTAACGGTCCTAAACTGAATCCTTCTAAATGTCAAACTGTTAATTTCAGTTAAGATGTAAAAGACAGTTAAAAGAAGTCATCGATTCTCATGACAGTTGTAAAATTGACGACAATGATATAGGAATCAATTCAGAAATTAAGTATCTTGGACTTATTCTCTCTTCTGATCTCTCTTGGACTTCCCATGTCTTAGCAATCCCCAGTAAAATATTCCGCCTGACATTTTACATTAAGAAGTTAAGACAATCGGGTATAACTCAACCCCTCCCCCCTCTTACAGTTTATAAACTCTTGCATCTTACCTATTCTTCTTTATTGTTCACCCTTGCTTATTCTTTCCTGGTTTGCTTAAAAAGGACTATGTCACAATTCGTAGAATACTGAAGACTGTCAGTAAGGTGAGTGGTGTCCCAGTGGACCACATAGTTAACATCGTTGTCGATAGGCACTTGACTTCGTGCAATAAATTTGCTAAAGGGATTTTGTCCGACTTGGAGCATCCGCTTTACCCTCAGCTTCCTTTCACCTTGCATCTCCTCAGGTAGAACAAGAAGTAACTTCAGAAAACTGTATGCTCTCACGTCTAAGTATAGAAATTCTATGATACCATACTTGTCACGTATTTTATGTGATGAAAATAGCGTAAGGCAGGAACTAACTAACCTTTTTTCATCTAGTAAATAAATAATTTCCTCCATCCATCCTTGTATACCTTGAAGTTTTACTTTTATTATTTCTATTATATTTATGGTCCTGTTACTTCTTTGTTTTACTTTCATAATCGAAAGTACCAACTTATCTCCATGACTGCTGTAATCTTTGTCTTTCCCCTCACCATACCATGTAAAGAGAACATTATATTCAATATTTTTAAACATGTTAGGATTTCTATACCACATTGCCAATACTGTGTGAAACAAGCCCACAGTAATTTTCACTTGTATTCATGCCATTATTACCCTAGCTGTTATCAGTATTATTATTATTTCCATTTTATATGCTGCATGTTTTTGACACTACCTCTATTGTAAATGTGGAAAATTTTCTGTGTGATTAATGTTTATTTATAATTTGAGGAAATTAGATGCAATATTGTGATTAATGCTGAAAATTCCATTCTGTATCACAGGTACTGTTTTTGGAATAAAGTAAATCATTATTATTATTGTTCTACTGACGAGAATAGTACATGTGTAATGAGATTTTTCGCTAGCATTAGAATACAGGATAACTAAAACCATAGCTCAGTCAACCAAAAGATAGGATGTGTAAAACAAAGAAGGTATTATACGTAAAATAATTCTCTGCATTATGCATACTTTTATAGATTTAACAGATTGGTTAACTAACAAACAACTCATTATACACGACTATGCTCATCAATAAAATTCAATATTCTCAATAATTCTTTATAATCTTCAGCTAGAAAATAATACTTCTCAGGTGATTCTTTAACATATTCTACAGTATTTGGTGTATACTTTGCAATATGAATTTTATTCCAATCTTCTAATTCCAATGACTGTGATGTTTCAGTGAGTATAAATTTTCTGAATAAATGACCAAAATATTTATAGCATACTCTATAAATAATTAAAATTTGTCCTAGTATAATAATGGCTAAGATTGCATAGAAGCATGTATCAAATATTAGTGTACTCAGTTCCCATGGTTGTGGTTTAATCACTGGTATAACAGGAATTGTTGGCTAAATAAAAAAAAACAACAAAGAGAAGAATGAACAATGTGTTGAAGAGAATTAAATAAAGTAAATGTTAGAATGATAGAATAAAATGAAAAAAAGTATGAACCACAGAAAGGCATAAATGCTTGTTTTTATTTTATTATAACAGTCAGTGTAAGAGAGATTAATTTTATATTATCTTTACATAGTCCTCCTTTTAGGCTACAATTGCATTCCTTACTCATTACCGTATCCTTTGTCTTTTAGATATAAGAGTTAACTAAAACCAGAGTGGGATATAATCTTTTCTGTGGTGAAAATTGATGAACTCATTTTTATTTGATACATAAAGGTGTATCTAAAATGCATTATTAATTTGTTTATTAGGTGTATCACACAGTGAAACAGTATTATTTACTGAATGATAAAGTGTCGAACACAATTTATTCGTCATGATCATATCATCAATTATGATCACACAAATTCGAAGCTTTCGTTTCATAGTTTTCTTTATTCTTTCTTATTCGTCGTCGTAGGGGTAGTAAAATTTTCCAGATGTCCGGCTGCACAGATGTTGAATCATTCCTACTACATGCACTTTCTTCAGTTGATTCGATAAATAAAGCTTCTGTTATCAATCTCTCCCTCCATCTTGTCACATTAGATTTTAAAACTGTCATCTTATCCCATCCTCTTGTATGGTTGTGTGTAATTGCATGTAATGAGTGTTATAGCTGAACTATTCTCCAGATTTATTATCTTACTAGGGTCAACTAATCTAGATTTTGCTAGGTTTTTATGCTCGGCTAGTCTGACTGACATATATATTTGTGGGTAGGTGGGAAAACTTAACCACTGGAACCTTCAGCTCCACCCTGAAGGGATGGTGAAGGTACGTAGATGAAACATTCACCATTCTCAAAACACAGGACATAAATAGATATTTTGAACACATCAACTTGAAGACAAAGGCAATTCAATTCACTTATGAATTGGAAAGTCAGGAAGGGGAGCTTCCAATGTTAGATTGTAGTGTAAAAAGGAAAGAAGATAGGAAGTTGAACAGTAGTGTTTACAGAAAACTCACACATTCAAACAGATATTTGGACTTCCAATCATCCCATACTATGTCAGTAAAAATAGGATTGGTGAAATGTTTAGGTGACAGAGCACAAAAATCTAAGTAGTACCAAGGAAAATATAATAACAATTTCGCTTTATTCCAGAAACAGTACTTGTGGTACAGTGTGGAATTTTCAGCACACAGGAAGTGAGGCATCTAAGAGAAGCTTTGAAACTTAATAATTACCCAGAACGGGCATGAGTTCCATCAAGGTTGCAGACACGCCTTGCCAATGAGTGCTAGCTGGCAGCAAACCTAGGTCAAAAACTTCCTGTCGATTGCCTTCAAGCATCTAATACAAACATATGTTGTAATTTAAAATTAACTGAGTAATGTATCATACTGACTTTTAACTAAATAATTTTCACATTTATTTCGACAACTTTTCATAATATTTAGTAATTTTTCAGAATATACTACAGAATATTTTGAAACATACAACTCACTTCTGGATCCCATAAAGGACTATCTAGCGGACCACCTCTAAGATGGATGAGAGCATCTTTTTCGGCCTGATCTTCAACTGTTTGCATTTCAAACTAAACAAAATTTATAAAAGTAAGTGTAGTTTTGATAAAGCAAGAAAGACCAAATTTGAAGTATGAAATGACGTGTTTCTATTTCACAGGTTCTCATCATCTGCAGACTAGCTGGAATTATTATGATTATAAAAGAATGAAAAAAAAGTATATTTTGGCATCTCAATAGTAGTAAAGAAAATGATACAAAAAAGATTAACGCATCCGAAATGTAAGCATTAGAATTTTTTAGTTTAAGTCACCATCAGTTTACATGCCTTTCGAAGTAGAAAACGAAATATGGAAGAGAAGACAGCAAAATCTAATAGACGGTGTTAGCTTGTCAGTTTAAATAGCAACTCAAAAAGGTTATAGTTCATAGAATTCAAAACTTGCTCAATGAACTGAAATCACTAATATCAATGATTAATCAGTGTACTCAAAACCAAAATGCAGTTATCAGGGGAGTGAGTGGCTGACCACACTCTTTTTCTGTATGCATAAGTTTGATTTGAAACATTTAATTGCAATTACTTCAGCAAATCGTAGTAAATTTGCTATCCTTTGTATATTTAATATTTTGAATGATTTGGAAATTTTGACGAAATGACTCGTATCCACAAGGTATCTGGTAATTGTACTTTGGGAATATTTACTTTCTATTAAGGATAAGTCTTTTTGTGGATATGTCCTGAAAACCTGATAGAAGCCCTTTTTCCTGTCTTTCCAATGTACTTTGCTACCGCAAATGCACGTAAGTTTATGAACTCAGTTGGAAGTTACATCAGTAGGGTTTTTATACAGTTTGGATTGCCTTACATTCCGGTTGTGTTGATATTTTTTATAACATTTTCTCTACTACCATTCAAACATTGAAGCCTGTTATTTTCATTCTGTTTTAACTATTGTAACTTGAGGTAGTATGCAGCTGATAAGAACCTGTGAAATACAGTGACATCATGTCATTATTGCGAATCTGGTCTTTCTTGCTTTGTCAAAATTTATCAAGGGAACAATTTAAATGTAGTTTCTTTCGTATATATATATATATATATATATAAATTAGTGAAGCTAAAAAGTATAGCAAGGTAAACATAGAAAGTCTGACACTCAATATGCATAGATGTAAAGCTCAAAAGCAAACTTTTACTTCAGAATCGATGAGCAGAAACTATCAACAATGTCTGGTAATTATTTATTTTATTCCTTCAAGTTCCGAGTGGAACATAAGGCTTTGAAGTTTCGGTAGCAGTGGCTTTATTTTTACGGGATAGGGTTACTAGCCTCATGCCCCAGCCTTCCCTCTTTACAACTCATACTACCAGTTTAGCGAGGTGGAGGAATGCTACGGCCAGGGACCGAACCCCGGACCATATGCATGGTTGGCGAGCACTATATCTCTGAACCGCCGACGCACTCAATGTCTGGTACTAATATGTAATTAGTCGATATATCGCATACTGCGTCAGCATACTATAAAAAACGTAATAAAAGGAAAATGATGAGAATCAAAAAACATAAAGTTAAAGACATTGTTTGTTGTAACATAAAAAATAGATTTGATTTTGCAGTTGAAACAAAGATTAGGCATAAATGCACTTTCCTCCCCTAGTTTTTTCTATTATTATTTATTATTATATCCTTTAATTCCTAGAGGAACATAGGGCTTCAGCTGCGCATCTCCACTGCCTTCGGTTTACTACCAACTTTTTCACTCCGTTCCGAGTCTGCCCGCATGCTTTCATCTCCTCTTCACATGACCTCCTCCAAGTCACCCCACCCTCGCACTGACGACCAACTCGCCGCTTTCCTTTCGGGTTCCACTCCAGCAATGGCTTGTCTAGTGATGTCACTTGATGGTTTCCTCAGAGTATGGCCAGCCAATCCATCTCCATTTCTTCCTGCCTATTCGTTTCACAATCGGTTCCTGGTTGGTTCGCTCATTGCCAGGGATACCTGTTGCTGATCATTTCTGGCCAGCCATCTGATCTTGAGTGATATTGAGCGAAGACAACTGTTAATGAAGGTCTGTATTTTGTTTGAGGTGCTCTTTATGACGCGCCAAATCTCTGATCCGTTTAGTGAGTAGCAGTGACTTCACATTGGAGTTGAAAATCCGGATCATATTTTTGATGCTGAGTGCTGTTGACTTATCTTCACACAGACTTGAGAATAATGAAAGCTTGTCTTGCTTTTCCGATTCTGGCTTTGATATCCTCGTCAGTTCCTTCTGTAGTCGAAACGATGCTTCCCAGGTATGTAGGTGAATGAGGTTGTTTCTTCCAGGTTCCTCCCATTTATGCTGGCTGATTGTTGTCTGTTGTTGTTGCTGCTGTTGGTGTTGGCCAGGAATCTTCATCACCTCTGTTTTATCTATGTTCGCCTGAAGTCCTATCTTCTCTGGATGCTTCTTCTGCCAGCTTGTTGCTTTTGACTTGCATATCTTCCAGTTTGTTGGAAATCAGACATATATCGTCGGCGAAGTCCAGATCCTCCAAGTTTTTTGTGTGAGTCCATTTTATGCCTGTTTCCTTATTGCCCGTTGTCTGTCACATTATCCAGTTTACTGCAGTCAGGAAGATCATTGGCGGTAGTAGACAGCTTTGCCTCACTCCCGTCCTCACTTCGAAGGCTTCCGTAAGTTTCCCGTTGTGGATTACTTGGCATGCAGCATTGTCGTATAACTGTTGGATGAGATGTATAATTGTCGATGGGACCCCGTAGTAGCGAAGTAGTTGCCAAATTACCTCTCGATCGACGCTGTCGAAGGCCTTTTCAAAGTCGATGAAGCTGAGATAGAGAGGTGACTGCCATTCCAAGCTTTGTTCAATGATGATCCGTAGTGTAGCGATTTGATCAATACATGACTTGTTTCTCCTGAATCCAGCTTTTTCCGGTCGAAGTTTTTCATCCATCTTGGCTTGTTTGATTCTCTCCAGGATGATTCGGCTTAGTATTTTGCTTAGGGTGGACAGGAACATAATTCCGCGCCAGTTTTTACATTGACTTAAGTCTCCTTTCTTTAGTAGTTTGAATAAGTATCCTTTCTTCCAATCCTCGGGTACTTTGCCCTCTTTCCATACCCTCTCCAGAAATGGCGTCATCAATTACGCTGTTGTCTCTGCGTCCATTTTCAATACTTCTGCTGAGATTCCATCTGGTCCTGCTGCTTTTCTAGCTTTTAGCATCTTGATTACATTCACGACTTCTGATTTCGTCAGGGGTCGATGTTCACTGGTAGTTCTGCTTCCGTTGTTGGTATTGTTGGGCGCGTTGTAGGTGGCTAGTATAAATTTTAATATAACCAAGTTTACGTAATATTACGTTCGTTAATCTGATGTGCCCCAGTTGGGAATGTTTGTTTTCTTATTTCTGGAATTTTATCTTAAGGATTATAACTGGAAAATGTTTTTATACTGTTATATGCATGCTTAGCCTATAAGATTTATAAATGATTTAATACATGTAACAGATATGAAGGAGGTAGTGAGAGCTTGTGAGCAGTCGTTTAGCCAGCTAAATAGGACTTAAGTGAAGGGGATGAAATGGGGATGTACTACTGAAGCCTGATGTTCTATTTGGAACTTAAGGGAATAATAATAAAAGTAATAATAAATATCCACTCCCTCATATTGCTGCAGAAAGATAACCATGGACATCACTTCGACTGGGAAAACGTTCAGCTATTACGAAGAGGAAACACTAAGGATGCCAGAGAATTTTTGAAAACCTGGTATTCCAGTAAATCGGAAATTAACAGACCCATTGAAATAGATAAAAATTTACCAGACCACAAGAGGAAAACCCCATACACAAAAAGTCAAACTTCAGGTCAAGGAAACAATTAATACCAATATAAGTAGACTAGAGGGTATGGAGACACGTCCAAGGTCACCGGGAGGGATGAATAATAAACTCGTGAAGAAGTGTAAGAGCTCACTTCAAATTGAGGTATGAGCCGGGTATGTTACTTAGTAAGGCAAGGGAAGCTTCGCAAGTACAACATCCAGCTCAGAGGACACAACTATGCCAAAATCATCCACCTGAGCTACAAATCTGCTCTATTATATCTAAATTTAATACTTATAAGAATGATGAAGTAATAGAAGCGTAAAACTTAGTTAGACTTCTCAGTGCCCGAAGTTAGGTTTGACCACTAACTGTAGTTAGTTAAATCACTTTTGTTACCTAGAATCGCTGCTTCACCCTAGTTCGGAACTCTAAATTATACATAGCAGCATGCTAGATATCGTCTCGTACAATTGGGTTACGAGAAAACCACGATACTACTTAGGTAGTGGACTGTGATCTTCTTAAGCATGAACTATGATTACCAACAATTCACATTAGTGTATGCTATTGGAAACCATATTGTAAGACAAATCTTCACATTGCTCGTCATTTTTAATTTGATATGGGGGTTTTGAGTCAGTTTGAACTTAAACGTTTGTTGCACAAACCACATCTATTTAGCGTTTGGATACCAATATTTCCCCAAAAGATCATAGTACACCAATTTTATGTACGTCTGTCACATATTTAATCAATATTATTTCGTTATGTAATCAAAGTTTCAAGTTTCCGGGACGTTACGTGTTCTATATATATAGAACAAAAATAGTTATAGCGAACAGTTGTTTTCAATAAATTCCTCAAGTTTTACAATTATAAATCCATTAATTTAAGCGTACAACAGCCGGTAAGTGCAAACCAGAATCATATCAGAAATGTATTGTGGAACAAGTACAAAGTGGGATGCAACAATAATCAGTTTTGAATATACTTGGTCAATGAGAACATGAGATAAAATAACTTAATGATGTATATTAAAGACAACAAAAGTATAGGTTTTGAGGGTGAGTGTGATGTGTGTGAGACAGTATGAATACTACAGAAAAATAAACCAACAGTACAACCATTTTCATATCTTTACACCGATTCAATACAAAATGAACTAACTTAGTTAAGTGTATCAGTTATAGAATAAAATGCATATGTTCAGACGATTGCATTAAGGAAGAGAT